TTAACAGTGTCCTCTATCATTCTGCTGAATAACGTCAGGTATTCACACAGAAGGATGTTTCAGCAAGGGGCTACTGAAATATTGCTCTTGTGGAAGCATGCAGGGCACCTCATATCCTGAACCTTAAGAGTTCAGATGCTATTTGATGGATTTTATGAGAATGCATCAAAGAAAACAACACTGAATAGTCTATGCCCTTACAATACACTCCTTACTGGACATGATGACTGAGGAATGTGATAGGATTGCACTTACCTTTATAAGTTCCATGGAGTCCATAGTAAACATGTAGAGCTGATTTTTATTTGTGTTAATGACCATTGTTTCCTCAGAGGGGCTGAAGCATATACATGTAATGTCCTGTCTGCCTGATGTTTTTGGCTCACTGCTGAACAGGTCCTGGGGAAGCTGCACAAGAAATGCATCCCATGGGATATGCCAGGTATCCATATTTTGGTAGTAGGCATGCACACACACACAAATCTTTGCTGTAATGCTACTCTAGTAAGCATATACATAATATCAGCACGACAATTTGGATATTTAATAGCACATAACTACTGCAAGGCAGGGAATAGAGGACAACTGTATCTATAGCATTACAGCTGAAATAAAGTATCAGAGGACATTGCACCAGTAATCTGAAGTACTGCATTAAACAAGAATGAAAATGGTAGCAGAAAAACATCAAGAAAAAAACTAGCAAGTGTCACAATGAAAACTGTCTAAAATTGTGATCTCAGAGTAACAGTTCTTTGTAGTGTATCAATCATGTTGACAATAGTCTTATTACAGGATCTCATGCACAGGGATATTCTGACCTTTTAGGACCAGAGTAGTGAAGTCTTGACCAGGTCATTAGAGTTAAATGTTCTTATCCACAGACTGCAGTAAGTGGATGCATACAGCTTGCTACAGACCAGTTAGAAATCTTATTTAAGAATGCACAAGTCTCATGACAGCTCTAATAAATATCTGAGGGGATAAATGCTTCTCCTTGGAAAAAAACCCAAGCAACCTAGTTCTTAGAAACTGATGTAAACTACTTCTTAGCCCCAAAAGCCTCCACAAATAAGTTTATCAAAGGTTTCCTGAAAGTTTAGCAGGCTCAAAGTATGTATTGCATGTGGGAAGGGAACATGCAGAACTACCTTGCAAAAGGACATCAGTAACTGACTTTCAGTGTGAGCTTTGGCAACTCTCTTGCTTTTGACATGACCAGGACAGCCATAATAATGCTTATTATGAAATTTAGAGATGTGCTAAAAATTATTATTAATAACTGAATCAGAAGCATCCCCAGTTCTCTGCTTCATTATTGCTTAGAAAAGCTTGTTTCTCCTTACCCAGATTTCTCTGCTCTCCTTGTAGGCTTTCTTTTCCTTGGTCTTCTCAAACAGAAGAACAACTCCTGGGCTAGGTGAGCATGCAAAGCCTTTGGAATATGCTGCAACTGCAGATATTTGAGGCAAAGAATCCTGTTGTAAGCTATTATCTTCAGAGTCCATCCCACAAGTAACATCAGAAGAACTGCAAGCAGGAAATGTATAGACTTAAGAACAAAGAAGAACAAATCAAATATTTTCAGCAGTAGCAGCAATCAAAATCATAAACTGGACAAGAATGAAGTCAGTGGTCTGCAACTAATCTGCATGCACAAGCACAAAACAACTAGTAATAATATTGACCAGATTTACCTCTCATATTCTTTTGTTGTTTTATCTTCTTCTAGTTTTCTGGGTGGTTTTCTGTACTCTACACTTGTCTCCCAGTGCAGCTCTCCAGTTTGAAACAAGCAAAGTTTGCCTCTGTCAGTGCCACATATAACTTTCTCCTTGGACAGCCAGGCATGGCACAAGTAGTTTTCTGGCTCTCCCTTCTGTAAATTCATCTGCTTCAAAGTTCCTTCACTGTACTTAAAAAGTTTAAAAAAGCCATTTCCAGTGATACAAACCTGGGCATTGTCTTGAGGGCTAAAGCTCACCTATGGAAGAAGAGAAAGTATTTTTGAAAACTATATTCACAAATAACAAAATACTATACGTGTTCCGAAGATTTCCAATACCAGACACAGTAAAACAAGCAAGGGAAGAAGGTTCATGGAAAGATACAGGAATACTGAAGAGACTAAGAATTAAGCATCATAAATACATATCGCAGTTTTCCCCCTTTTGAAACTGTGTATATGAATTTTACACTATGCTACAGAAAGACTATTCTATTAGGCTGAGACACTATCTGAGTCATAATGCAACACTTACAGAAAACTGTCTCCGCCCTTCAGAAGTCAATTACAACAGTAAGGCCAAAATACCTCTTTACTGCTGATCAGCAAGTTTTTCCAGTAGCAAGCTCCCTGAAAAGTGGGACCATTCCTTTGTAAAGGCCAGGAATAAATTCAGAATTTCAGGCAAACATTATGCATATGAATTCACATGAATAGGTGTTTATTTGTGAAAATGATGGAATAGCCACCTCAATGCCCAACATGAAGGATAGCAGGGGCAGTTAGAACTAATTTTTTATGCTTAATGGGACTTCAGACAGCAGGAGTCTTTACAGTCATTCTCCTCTCTTTATGAATTGAGCTCATGAAGTCAGTAGTTCATCCAACCTCTGCTTGCACCTGTTACCCAGAAAAAAAGGCAACTAGGGTCCAACCAACCTATGCACTAAAAGCATCTTACCTCCTGGCAAGAAAGATTCTAATTACAAAGCACCCAAAGCAGGATGCAGGAATTGAGTGTCATTAGCCTGTTCCTAACCACTTCTCTCTGATCTGCACACAGAAGACTGCAGGAAGGAAAAGGTGCATGAGCATACTGAGAGGTTCCAAGATGTGTGTTATGACTACTGAGAACAACCAATATACTTAGTGTTTCTGCAGGGACACAAGGGACACAGTGCACACTCACTGGCCAGTGGTACTGGCCCCATAACTTAGATGTCATGTGATACAACATGTGATCTCATGTGATCTCATGTTGAATCTCATGTGTTCTCATGTTGATCACATGTGATCTCATGTTGAATCTCATGTGATACAACAGATACAGATGTGAGAATGTCCATTATGGGTCAAAGCAAAACTTTATTTAGCCCAGTGTCCTATTACTCAGGAAGACCAACAGCAGATCTTAAGAAAGGCCACAGAAACTGTACGAAATCTACAGTGTGGAGCTCTCTCCTCTTGCCCTGGAGCAAATCCATGTTGCCACAGGAAAACGTACCATGCACATATCCTGAAGGATGAATGTATGTGCTGCCTAGCACTTGGTACTTGTTGAACTAAAGTTTGATCCTTTTATCCACATGTTTGACAAGTGCAATATGCTCCCAAAGAATCAGTGAAGTGTAAATCAAAGTGCTAAAAATGAGCCTCAGAGAGACTGTGACGTCACAGCTTTGGAAGCTTGTTCCCCGGGCAAGGTCAGGGGAGCCCAATGGCCCCGGGGCTGGCGCGGGGCGATGGTGCCGATACCTGGCAGAGGCCATC